TTCCTGACTAAACCCAGCACATTATAGTAGACTTAAATGCCTTTTAGTCACAGGTGATGCTGTTAGTGCAGCTGTCACACAAAAACTACTGAATGAAGCAAGCAAATATATTCCTGTACCAAGCACATAGATGAGTGCTCAGTATTTTGATACATTTTTTTTGTCTTCTAAGTGTTGCTTTTCTTTCCTAAAGGGTTTGGTTTCTAGTGACTCACCTGTAAATTTCCTCTTCATCCCTGTTTCAGCAGTGTTGTCTGTCTCCTTGTACCAAGGGTATCATAACTGCTGGCCACAAACAAGTGGGGTGTTCTGGCACATCAGGACCAACTTTCTTCCCCACTGGGGATGAAAAGTGTTCTCCAAAGTCTCCAAAGCTCTGTTTCTGTTTAACTTCTAGCACTGAACCTTAGAATTTGAGTATACACTGGCAAATGCTAAACTCAGTATGTGTTTTTGGTTTATTTTTTAACAGAGCTCCAGTCTTAGTTGCTCTTGCACTGATAGAATGTGGAATGAAGTATGAAGATGCAGTGCAGTTCATAAGACAGTAAGTAGTAAGCATCACCTAGCTTTTCCCAAGATATAACATGTTGACATATACTTGGGCACTGAAGGAAATTCTGAATGCTATCTTACTGGGGTTTTTTGGTAAGATAGTACATCTGAACTTCTTGACACCCATACTGCATAGTGTTGTAGGACTTGGCGTATGGGGTGGGTATGTTCTGTTTTTGTGGACATCAGATTCAGTAAGTATTTATTTGAGCAAGTTTAAAAAAAAAAAAAAGGCATGACCACAAACCCCTTCAGATCTGTGGGGTTGTCTTTATTATTTGTACATATGAGAGGTAGAATACCTTGGAAATTTAGGTTCTGTCTACTAGCCAGAACTAACACTCATTCACGTTTGTGAATCCTTTCTTCTGTATTAAATCGAAGTGTACTAAGCAGTTCCTCGTAGTCTTTTCTGGTAGTCTACTGAAGGAAATTATTTCCTTGGATGCTTTTTTTTATAAATGTATGTAGGTTGGATGAGAAACATTTTCGAGTCAATGCCTTAACTTTGTATGTTTCAACTATTTTTAAAAGAAGCTGCAGCTCACATAAACAATACCAAAATACTTACTGCACAATTGCCAAGCCTTTAAGAATTAAATTCAGCTTGTACATATTAAGAGGCTGCTGTGTATAAGTGAGGAAAAGGAAGGCTGTTCCAAATGCTCAACAAAAATAAACCAAGAAAGCTCAATTGCTGTTCAGCTTCTTATTATGGGGAGTTACAATGTTTATGTACTTTATTAATACTCTGGTATTCTTCATAATTATTTTAAGAGACTGAATAACTTGAGCTTTCTTAAGAAGACCGTCTCGCATCTGCTTTATAGCTGCCTTTCCAAGTTTCTTCTGAAGAGCTTAACGTAAGATCTTTGGCTTGAGTGTATCAGTCTAATATTGTCTAAAATGCTGTGTGCTCCTTTGAGCATGTGGTCCAATGAGGTATTTGTGAAAGGAAGCTGCCACCCTCTTTCCTGGCCTTGAACTCTTAATTACCTGTACTTTGGTTATGCTCTTGACTTAATAGTGGGATTCTAAGTGACCTAAAAACATTGCTCTCTGGTTGGGGATATTTCACTGGGCAGTAGATTAATGTTCTGTTTAAATTGTTTTTCCCCCCATCTAGGAAGCGGCGTGGGGCTTTTAACAGCAAGCAACTTCTGTACTTGGAGAAATACCGCCCCAAGATGCGTCTGCGTTTTAAAGACTCCAATGGTCACCGAAATAATTGTTGTATTCAGTAAAGCTCAACAGCCTATAGTACTTCTTTGGGATTAAAGGATGGAAGCTAGAATTACGCAGACTGCATGCCAAAGTCATGAGTCTGATATTTTTTAGTAGTAAAGGAAGCTTCCTTAGGAGTATTTAATAGGCTAAAGGCTTAGTAGAAATGCAACTTGTATGTTTAGATAAATATCCATCTGTTTGGAGACCTGGTAAATGTTTTTGCTGTACCCTGTTTCTGAGCTGTCTCCTTGTTCATTAATTACCAGTTCAAATATCCTTTAATCATGCCATTGAGTCTTACCCACCTAGTTTCAACTACTAAAAATTGGGGTACTAAAATAAATCAATCTGTAGAGAGATTAGGTGCCAAAATACCCAGCATATCAGCTATATGTTTTTCCTTATACGTGAGCGTAGTTCTCATTGTGTAGGAACTATCAGCTTATCTGGACCCTTACTATCACTTTTTTTCTACAGTCATTTCAATATTGAAGAATATGGCCTCTAAGATAGTCTTGCCTGCTCACTGTATGTGTTGTCTCCCACAATCGCACTAGAATTATCAGGATTTGCACAGTCTTTTTAATACTATGAATTACAGCAACTTTTTACCCCAGCATCTGTAGTTTTCTGTTAACCAAACCCTCTCCATTTTACAAATCATTGCTCTCCGGTTACTCATGTAGAAAACCTTTTAAATTGTACAGAAGCACACAAGTCTTTAATGTCTCCAGACAAAAAAGCCTTACAGTAAAATTAATGTTGGCACTTCATGTGCAACTTAACAGAGGGCCTGAAAAGGTTGGGAGGGGCTATTTAATATTTCTAGTCAAATGTTGCCTTTGTCTTGTGCAGGAAGTATAGAATATGCCCTTTACTTTAGTAAATATTTTTTTAAAACGTAGAAATGCTTTGTTATTGTAGCTAAAAATTCTTAATCAGAAAATTTCTGAAAAATCTTGTAGTTTCTTTTACTGTACCTATTGAAAGTTGTTTACCAACTATTGCTTTGTTGAAAGTGTGATTTCTTTTTTTCTTTTGTTCCTTTCGTTTTTCCTCCTTCAGTTTCTGCTATGACTTGGGCAGACCTCTGTAATATTTTGTATGCCTTTCAAGCTGCGTAACTTAATATTTGGATACTTGATAATTTGTTTTATTATGTAATTGATAAAATGGTGATGTGTATTAATGTTAGTTCAACCATATATTTATACTGTCTTGGGAATGTGTGGTTATAGTTCTGTGGGAGAAATAATTTTGCCAGTGTTCACCAGCTTGTAAAATCTAGTGCGAGAGCTTAAACATCTAAATAAATACTGAAATGCACTTACAAAGTTTGCTGAAACGCTCATGACTTTCACTTATTTCTGTGTACTTTGTCAGCAGTCTTGAGGTGCCTAAATTCAGAATCTATCCAGGCATTTGTTTTTTTTTCTAAATCTGGGCCTCAATGTCCCTTTTGCTGTAATGTTTGCTGTTTGTTTTACTCATAAATAAATGTGGACAAAAATTAATAGTAGGAAGTACGGTATTTCTTTATGGAGCTTGCTTGTGACTCCCCTTAACCTACTGGTATCAAAATAGGTTACTGTCTTAGTACTTTTGGAACCATCTTTGCAGCCAGTGCAGAATATACGCATCCGTACAGGACAGAGAACACGTGTATCGGAAGCATTGAAATTTAATTACAAGATAGGAGGAGACAATGCTTCATTGTCAAGACAAAAGCTATGTCCACACAGAAGATACACCAAAAGTTATGTGAGCTAAGACCTGTGTCTGAGTTTCCAGAGGGTCACGTCCTAACTTCCTAATGAGAACTGGAAGAGGCTCTTAGCCAGCTGAGGTGCTGTTCTTACTGGCAATGATAAGCTCAGGCCCATAATTAAGCTATGACTTTTCCTTTCTAAATGGTGAGGTGGGATGCTATGTACAATGTAATCTAAAGTTATAGTGTCATTATAAAGAGCAATTTGAAGTTTTTTGTGTTTTAAAAATGTCTGAAACTGAATAAACTTAAGTTAGTCTGTAAAGTAGTAAAATAAGCTCTTAGTTAAGTTTTCCTTTGGAAGTTAAACTGGGTTTATAGGGTATTTTGATTAAAGGAACAGCTTCATTTATTGAGGAAATAAGGCTTTTTCTTCTGGAATGATGTCCAAAGTCATCAATGATTCTATTCTCAAGATGGAACAATTGCAAAGAGAAAACCTACAAAAATTCTATAACTTGGTAGTTCAACAGGCTGATGTAAATGTACTAGTTAAACATTAGTTTTTAAGTTTAAAAAAATTGATTTGGTCACTCATGGAACTAGGAGGAATCAGTAAAATTACTGGTAGTCAAATGATAGAATGCTTTGGTTGGAAGGGACCTTAAAGGTCATCTAGTTCCAACCCCCCTGCCATGGGCAGGGACACCTTCCACTAGACCAGGTTGCTCAAAGCCTCCTCCAGCCTGGCCTTGAACACTTCCAGGGATGGGGCATCCACAGCTTCTCTGGGCAACCTGTTCCAGTGCCTCACCGCCCTCTCTGTGAAGAACTTCTTCCTGATATCTAATCCAAACCTCCCCACTTTCAGTTTCAACCCGTTACCCCTTGTCCTGTCACTACAGGCCCTTGTAAAAAGTCCCCCCCAGCTTCCTTGTAGCCCCCTCAGGTACTGGAAGGCTGCAATAAAGTCGCCCCGGAGCCTTCTCTTCTCCAGGCTGAACAAGCCCAACTCTCTCAGCCTGTCCCCATAGCAGAGGTGCTCCAGCCCTCTGAGCATCTTCGTGGCCTCCTCTGGACTCGCTCCAATGTCTGTGACTTATATTTATTTAAAATTATTAGTGCAATTTCTGTATGCATGTCAGATTTTGCTCTGTCTCTGCAAGAATTGCGCAGGTAAGGACTCCTACATTTCGGTTGAGCTGCAACATGTTAGTGATAGGAGCTTGGTCCTTTGAACTGTTAAACTTGAGACTGGGCTTTACTTCAGTGGATTTTGATAAACAGATTTCTCAGGAGGAAAAACTTGCATGATTAATGTTTCTCTTCAAAACAAAGATAAAGTCGATTTCTGAACTGTTTCCACATTTAGACAAGAATCCCTGAGGAACAGAAAATTTCCTTTGTTTAACAACAAGAAAAGGTAGGTTTTGGGGACTGAATTGTTGATGGTACTAAAAACATGAAGATAAGATAGCAGATGAAAGTACATAAACCAAGTTAAAGTTCTGTGTAATTCATACGAATTTAAACACACACGGGAAGAATAAATTAAATGGTATTACTGTGTCTTCCCTTAAGGCTGAAGCCTGAAACGAAGACAGGCTCTAATGTTGCATCTAATTTTAGATGGTTAGAACACCTCTGTCTCCTTTGTCCCTTTTTCAAGACTTCATTGTGGCAGTACGTAATTACATGGTAGCACACACTTGTCACCCACTGACTCCTGTGCTGCGGACCGTGTGAGTTGGGTAAGTGTGGTTTCTACATGGTGTATTTATGGGATTCCTTAGCATGTAGCAGAAGTTAAATGTTCATGTGAGGTAAGGGGAGAGGGACAGCATGATCTTGCAATTATTGCAGCAGAAAACGGATGGGTCCCTCTGGATGGCATCCCTTCCCTCCAGCGTGTCGACCACACCACACAGCTTGGTGTTGTCAGCAAACTTGCTGAGGGTGCACAATAGTATAGAAAGATACCTAAAATAGGTTAGATGAAAGGCTCCCCAAAGATGAGAGCGCGGCCTGTAAAGGGAGCATGGGACAGCAAAGTCAGTTTGCAATGTTGGCATCTGCAGGTAGATCATATAAATCTCACCTAACTTGTGTAAGTGCAATAGTTCAAAGCATCAGGCAAAGTATTGGGTACTTCTCTCAACATACCCTGCTTTTAATGTGTCATAAACATTGACAACTATAACCTGATTTGATTTTTGGTTTATGCTATAGGTAACCAGAGCAAGCCTTATTAGGCATTATTTTCCTCTTGATTGCCTGCACGAAAGCTTCTAATTTTGATATTGTTCTAATGCCCTCTCTCCTCAATTAATTGATAATTAATTATCCCAATAACAACACAAGTTACTTATCAGTGGAAAACAGCTATGTTAGGTAATAGTGGTTAAATAGTGGTCTGACAAGAAATGATAAGGACAGTGCCAGAAGATCAAGTTGCCTTCTTCAATTTCTGATTCAAATGAGAGCTTTCAAAGCGCAGCTGAGGAAAACCGGATACTACAGTGTGTAGACACATGGGAATGCTAAACTTAAAACTTTAACATTTCAATACAACTCTACAGCAACTTTCAATTCATCCTAATAAAAGCATATAAAGGCAACGAGGGCATAGCAGAGCTGCAAAACCATTAAAAGGTTCCCTTATACTGCAGGTGCAATTCTTGCCTTTGAGCTTGCTCAAGGTTGTCTGCATTGACACACACACCTACCCCAGCGACAGGCTACCTTACTCTCCTCTCCACTGTTCGGTATGGCAGGGTTCTCACTTCTCCCTTCTAACAGGCAGTTCCTTGTAGGATGCTATGGAGGATGGGTATCTGTCAGAAGGCGTGTAGCTATGATGCTCTCAGGCATGCTGCCTCAAGTCTCCCTACACAGAGTGTCTCTGCACTACATCTTTATCCAGTCAGGATTAATTTGGCTAATAGGCAGGCTGTTTTTCTAGGCAGACACTTGGTGGCTGTTTCCCATTTTAATCTAACCCGTCAGACAACAATATTCAATCACTCTGTGTTGTTAAGGAGGCTATCCTGATGGAGAGCATGCAAACTTCCCTACATTTGTGTTTAATCACAAACCTGACTTGATCTTTTTTACTTCTCAAACTTCACTCAGATGTCTGATCTCGGTTAGCTCTTTGCTGTGCAAGGCTTCTTTCATAACTTGAGAGTCTTGACCTCTCAAGTTTGTGACTTCTTTATTATGTGGACGAAAAGCTGAACACGAGCCGGCAGTGTGTGATGGCAGCCCAGAAAGCCAACCGTATTCTGGGTTGCATCAGGAAAATCGTGGCCCGCAGGTCGAGGGGGGGGATTCTCCCCCTGTACTCTGCTCTTGTGAGACCCCACTTGGAGTGCTGCGTCCAGCTGTGGAGCCCTCAACATCAGAAGGATATAGACCGGTTGGAGCGAGTCCAGAGGAGGCCACGAAGATGCTCAGAGGGCTGGAGCACCTCTGCTATGGGGACAGGCTGAGAGAGTTGGGCTTGTTCAGCCTGGAGAAGAGAAGGCTCCGGGGAGACCTTATTGCAGCCTTCCAGTACCTGAAGGGGCTACAAGGAAGCTGGGGGGAACTTTTTACAAGGGCCTGTAGTGACAGGACAAGGGGTAACGGGGGGGTAAACTGAAAGTGGGGAGGTTTAGATATCAGGAAGTTCTTCATGGAGAGGGTGGTGAGGCACTGGCCCAGGTTGCCCAGAGAAGCTGTGGATGCCCCATCCCTGGAAGTGTTCAAGGCCAGGCTGGATGAGGCTTTGAGCAACCTGGTCTAGTGGAAGGTGTCCCTGCCCATGGCAGGGGGGTTGGAACTAGATGGTCTTTAAGGTCCCTTCAAGCCCAAACCATTACATGATTCTATAATTCTATGTTCCTGTTCTCTCTGTCCAGAAATTCTTGGTAATTTCTATTTCATTTGTCTATTTGGGCTCAAAATTCCCTCCGGACTTCCTTAATTGGTACCTAGTTTTCTTCAGTGGAAAACCTTAAGAAGTACTATGCAATAGCACTTGGACTTTACATTCCTGTCTCAATTTTCCTCCAGTCCCACCAAGTATTTATGCTATTTTAAAATTGGGTCTCAGTAAGTTCTTTTAAGTAGCAAGCCATAAAAAAGGAGAAAATTGGGAGATTCTGAGGCAAGTCCAGGAAATTAATTAGAATTATCATATATTCTTGGGTTGAAGCAGTAGGATGCTTTTGAAGAAACTCACTAATTGTCCCATTTAGACACACAGAGCAATTTAAATTGGGAAAAACATTTGGAGGTCATCCAGTCAAACCCCATGCGCAAAGCAGGGCTAACTTCACAATTAGATGAGGTTACTCAGGAGCCGGTCTACTCAAGTTTTGAATATTTCCAAGGACGGAGACAACTCAGATCCTAAAGATACCTGTTCTATGGTTTGACTGCCCTCCCACTGACTACTCTTCCTTTGGCCAGAATTTTCCTGGATGCAATTTGCCCATTTCTTTCAGTTTTTTACTGTGGCCTCCAAGAGACTGTCTCTTCCTCTCTACATCCTCCTGTTACATAGCTGAGACAGCAGTAAAATTCCATCCTCAGCCTTATCCTGAGGATGAAGAAACCCAGATCTCTCAGTATGCCACATGCTCCAAGCCTCTATCATCTCGGTGGCCCTTCACTGGGGTTCACTCCAGTATGTCAGCATCTTTCTTGTACTGGGGAGCTTAAACCTGAACACAGTACTCCAGATGTGGTCTATAATCTCTGGCCTTGACCTGCTGCCTGCTCTCTTTCTGATGCAATCTTCCTATTCAATTTGTCCACCAG